CCATCCAAGGCACTCTTCTGGATTTGCAAAACACCATCATCCTGTTCTTTGGGCAGTGCTGACATTTTCAAAAGGGCACTTCCATTGTGGCAGGACCAACACCATATCTGCAGGGGACAGAAGACATTTGCCAGATGGAACATTCACAACCCAACAGGGAAGAGGTAAGCTTAGCATTCAAGTTCAGCCAGGGAAATTTATCTTTATGAAATAGCTGGATATATTCAATTTTATTAAGTCAGGGAGAATTTATTAAATGAAGAGAACTGATTTAATCTTAAAATGAAACTAAAAAACAGGAATAGGTAGTTACATTCAGACTTGCTTGTGGTCTAACATACATCTTTTGACTTGACACTAAAGTGCTGGTGACCTAGATAATGATGACGACAACATTATTATTAGGATAGAAGCCATCACTAGAGTGCAGCTTACATGTCAGCCATTTTACATGAATTAATTCATTGAATTCTCATGGTAAGTCCTTGTGATGGGTATGATTATTATCCCCATGCACAGCAAGGAACTGAGGCTTAGGGAGACAAAGGATTGCCCCACGACATGGAAAAAGTAGCTGCAGTATAACTAAAGGTGATGCTTTACCTTGATGGCAAATTGAGGGGTCTTCCAACATCAGAGAAAGTTCACAGGAGAAAAACGGAGAGTTGGCTAATCAAGACAGTGAATAAAAGACTCGCACACGGAAGGCACTGCACCAGGTTGTGAGAGGACAGAAAGGTGATTAAGGGATTGCTCTACTTTTGGAGCCCATACACTCAAAATATGATAGAAGGTAGAACATGGCAGACAAGGGGATGGCAAAGAACAATAGAGGGGAGGCAAGGAATAAAGATATTCTATGAATGACCACAAATAATAGGCTAAGGGGTTCCACCTTTTTTCTGGATACTATGAGAGATTTAAATTACTTATTTTGCAGGCATAAAAGGAGATTAGAACTAATCTTGGAGCAAAGTAATTTGCCAGTAGAGCCTAGAAGGGAGATAGGAAAGAGCAGGTTGAATAAGTAGGTTCAGCTGTAGTCTCTGCCCTGCATACAGGCCTGACTAAGGGCTTAAGAGTGGCTAACATCTGGTCCTTGCTCTGCTGACGAAGTCATCAGCCCTGGATCAATGGTTAACCCAATGAAAGAAATACTTTTGTAATTGGCTGCCTGAGTAGGCACCATTTTGGCTTCTACCCACACGCATAAACCATTCACTGGTTATGCTAGCAACAGCCTGGGCCAAGAGGTAAAGACCAGCACTACAATCCAGAAAACACTTTGTACTATACTTGGAAAGTCAGAAAGAGGAACTGGTTTGGGGTTTCTGGGGAAGATGATGGGATTGGCACTGTGTGTTGCATGTCTAGTGCCATTAGGACGTCCACATGGAGATACTCAGGAGGCTACTGACATGAAGGCTATGAGTATAAGACAGGAAGGCAGGACTGGAGTGCTGGACATGATAACTGATGGCCAGCTAAAGTACAAAAGATGACAAGTCCACCAGGAGAGCAAGGACACAGAAACACAGAACAGCTTTAGGAACTGCCAAAAAGAGCAATAACTCCCGAGAGCTAAACCATACTTTAAGACTCACATGCAGTGGAAGTATTAGAACACTATGACAAATTCAAGGGACATTTGCTGTTCTCTTAGTCCCTTTTCCAATGTCATGCTAAGCAATGTGCAGAAACCACCACACAGATCTAGGGCCTCTGAGAAAGGTGGGGATATTCTTAATGCTCAAGGAGTTATGACCCCTAATTGGTACAACTCACTCAGACATAAAGGAGTGTACTCTTAGTCATGACTGGATGATGGGACCTAAGAAATTAAAGTTTACCTCCCTTCCTGGGGCAAAACCAGTAGGCCCTTGGTGTCATCCAACCACATTTCATTTTCTAGTTGGGACATGTGTAGTGGTAACCTCCAATCAGAATTATCTTATCTTATCTGAGCTACAAAGAGGTACCTATTCTTTATTTGAAAGATTAAGTAGAAAGGAGTGAAATTCCTGGTCAGAGAGAGACTTCTCAGGAATTTAGCAAAAAGTCTTCTCCTATCATTATAATATGTACAGCTTCTCTTGGGAAAGAGCCACAGAGTTCTTAGTACTAATTACTTAACAACAGGCAAGAATCAATTTATTTTCAATTTATTTTCTAAAGGAAGAATTACTTGTTTTCTTTTGGGGTGTATTTTAAGGTGTCTCTCTGTAGAGTCAAAGAGCTTTAGAGTAACACCTATAATCCCAGGTTAGAAAATAGTGCAGTAAGGGGACCAAGATAGTACAGTATTTCCAAAGTGAGGACTGGAATTTTAAAAAGGCAGGACATAATTAGTCAAAAACTGCAACAATGTTATAGAGAGGTGGGGCTGTCCAAAGCTCAATGTCTTCTGAGAGGGTAGTGTCCAAGTAGGGGGAGAAGTCGCCTTGCAAGAAGAAATAGCAGCTGGTGGGCGTGCGTGTGTGTATGTGTGTGTGTTGTGTGTGTGTGTCTCTCTCTCAGTAGTAGAGTGTGTGTATGTGTGTGTTTCAGTAGTGTGTGTGTGTCTCAGTGGTAGTGTGTGTATCTCTCTCAGTAGTAGGGTGTGTGTCTCTCTCAGTAGTAGTGTGTGTGTGTGTCTCAACAGTAGAGTGTGTTTAGCATGTGTGCAGCCCTGAATTTGATCACTAACACCCCAACCCAAAAAAAAAAAAAAAAAAAAGAAAGAAAGAAAGAAAAAWAAAAAAAGGAGTAGAAAAAAACAAGTATAGACTGTTTACATATACTGGCAGTATAGGAAAGAACAAAGTAGTAGCTTCACTGTTAAGAAAGGGCTTTCTTAGAAGAGACTTAAAGATGTCTTGAGAGAGAGAGAAGAACATGCTTTAGAAATACAATGGAAAAGGGAAGGCTGATGATGGAACCAGGCTCCAGACAAGGCAACCAATATTGCTGGCAGAGGTTCAGATTTGGTGTGAAGGAAGCAGGAGCACAGAGAAACAATAGGAGGTCAGAATAAGGAAGCTGTGGGAGTCTCGGGTCCCACTATAGTAGGGGAAAGGCTAAGGCTGAGAGTATAAGAATTAACAATGATTTTACAAACGAAATGAAAAYGTGTTTACTCAGGAAAGTATGATACAGGAACCACATCAGGGCCTGAGCAGGACAAGGACCAGCAGGGGCAAGGATGCCTACAGTTTTCATGAATCCCATTAAGCACAGTCTGCTATTTGGTTTGAATACTCTATAGAAACATTCTTTACCTCAGAGCAAAAATTTAAAAAAGATAAAAAAAACCCTCAGGACTGGAGACTAGAGGAGGGTCAAGGAGGCCAAAGTCTCTAAAATGGTAGCAAGAATTTGAATGAACTGACAAATTATGCAGGTCATGGCTTTAGAGATATATGTGAAGGTAGGAAGGAACAGACTAGATGAAAAGCCAAAACAAAAAAGCATGGAGATATGAAATTGTTCTGGAACTAGATCAATGTCGCGATCACACAACATTGTGAATATACTAGGTAATATGTATCTTTTTTTTAATATTTATTTTTATGTGGTGCTGAGGATCGAACCCAGGGCCCTGCATGTGCGAGGCAAGCACTCTACCGCTGAGCCACAACCCCATGTGTATCTTAACACAATTAAAAAAACAAACCCTATGAATGGTACTGTAGGCCCTTCACAGTTTAGGCCCAAATCATCTCTTTACTCTTGCTATTCTCTGATGCTCCTATTGCATATAACTGCTGCTATTATTTTTGTTGATGTGATAGTCCTGGGGA